AAAGTATGATAGAAGTTTAATAAATATTTCATATATAGTAAACGCTACATAGCAAAAACCTTTAAATTGTTTTAGGCTTACACATATGTCTATAGTACAAAATAAAACTTTAATAGACCTTCATGATAACACAGTATTTACTTAAAATCACAATTTTGTTTTCTTTATATTTTGTTAGACTAATGAATCATATTTTTATGAGTTGCTTGACAAATAATATTAAAATCGTAACATACCACTGACAAAACTTTTATGAGCCACCAATAGTATATCAGGGCCTCCTAAACCCGTTGGAATCAAGATTTACAAAGGTCAATTAATAAAAATTTATCAGTGTACATTCTCTAGTAGAAATTGTATAATAATTAAAATATTATCATTATTATTAATCAAATTTTTATTATTATTCAGATTATTTATAAAAACTACAATTTACATAAAGTAAATTATTACACGAATAAAGTTATTATTTCTTAATAATTTCTCGGATACTAAAACAAAATAAATCGCCTTGTTCACCTTTCATTGTAACCGTCATATTCCCTTCAATCTAGAAAATATTCAAAAAAAATATTTATTTAATTAATTTACCAAGCACACGCAAATTATATAAAGTCCCGGACTATAACTAGTTAAATTAAATTAATACATACATCTGTCGGTGCTAATTTAGGGATTACCGCCTTATATACGATGGACAGTGGGTCACCCTTTTTGACCGGACACTTGACTATATGACATCCATTGTTATCAAAATCAGGCATATATTTAGTGATGTCAACTGGCCCTGATCCCAAGTCAACTGTCATGCCAAATGTTAGTTTAGTAGTATCCTGGTCTATTTAGAAAAATAATTGTATAAATAATATAACATTTTAGAATTATATTGTACTTGTAATAATTATTTTAGATTTTCAAATATTTTATAACTTACTCGCTGTAAACTCAATGTCTGTGGTAACTTACTCATCTAAATGAAATTCGCATGGTGATTTTGTACATTTACTAATATCCAATGTTTTAATCTCAGCGTGTCCTATTAAGCATAAATAATTTTAAATAGTAATATAATACATTTTATTATAATGAATCATTATTAATGATCATGGTCATTTTATTATTACCACAGTCTTTGTAGGGTGAGCTGGCTGATGCCAATATTATGGCCAGGCTTATAATGACTACTTTCAACATTGTTTTCGTAAGTATTAAACTGTTCACTTGTTGAATTAATAAAAACTCATATGCTTGTTAAAATATATACCGAGTTTATATACTTTTACTTTCATAGGTAATAGGTATGGATTATAATGCTTTTATTATCAATTATTTTGGTTGTAAGAGTTAATATAATGTACTTGCTTTTAGATAAGTGCCTTGATGATAATAATATAGCAAATATTACTAACTTTTTTAAACAATATCATTAAAATCTTATAATCAATTACACCATATTATGCTCTTTTGCTATCAAAAGTTACCCGATAATTTATTTTAAGTACCATTATCAGACAGTTTTTGATAATATATTTCACGAATTTGCTCTTTTTAATTATCAATGTACTTATTGATTATTTATTTTGTAAATATAATTAAATCAGATATAAATTGTATCTTTGTAGAAGTAATTATTTAAACATGTACCATTAATATTATAATACACGAATAATATTATAAAAAATATTGTTGGTAATGTTTAACTCTAACTTATAGGCATAATATTAAAAAATTTTAATTAAATAATAAAACCTTTGCCATTTCCAAATATAATTAACTATTTTACCTTTGCTAATTTTAATGTATTAATCATAATTTTTAAACATATCTGAGTTTATTTATCGCTTAATAAATGATAACAAAGAGCGTAATATGGTGCAACCCTTTGTAAATATTTAACATTATACATATTGATCGTTCACTAAATTGTGCAAGTAATTATTATAATATTATCATCTATCAAATACGGTACTGCACTACGTAAATTTAAACTTTATGATTTATTACCGGAGAAATAGTTTTTCAAATGATAATTTGAAAACCTGCCCTAAATATAATCAAGGACATTCACTAACCATTGATTCTCACGTAGTGTGTCCGCAATATATTAATAAAATACACTTCATTTCACTGCTTCAGCATGGTAGGTAATTGTTATCCAGGTCCGGTTTTATAACGAAAAATGGTTTATCCAATATACCGTGGTAAAGTTTGCCGATATTGATAGCTTTGGCGCTTAAAACTTTAAATATTTGTCATATTTATTCATTCATAATTATAAAATGAATTGATAGTAATTTTAAAATATTTTTATAATTTAAATATATCCAAAATTGCAAACACATAAACATTTTGTAGTTACTAATTTTGTATTTTATGTTTTTCATAAACACTTATAACTAATAGGTTATTAGCAATATAATTATTTATTGTAATTAAGTGTTTATAATATTAAACTAGTTTTAACTCTACTTTAATATATAACTTTATTTATAATCACTAATTTGTTTAATAATTAAAATAAATTCTATATTTAATAAATAAATAAATTGTTTTGAAATTCATTCAAATTTTGTTTATTATACGAATTATTTATAAAAACTACAATTTACATAAAGTAAATTATTACATGAATGAAGTTATTATTTCTTAATAATTTCTCGGATACTAAAACAAAATAAATCGCCTTGTTCACCTTTCATTGTAACCGTCATATTCCCTTCAATCTAGAAAATATTCAAAAAAAATATTTAGTTAATTAATTTACCAAGCACATGCCAATTATAAAAAGTCACAGATTATAATTATTTAAATTAAATTAATACATACATCTGTCGGTGCCAATTTAGGGATTACCGCCTTATATACGATGGACAGTGGGTCACCCTTTTTGACCGGACACTTGACTAAATGACATCCATTGTTATCAAAATCAGGCATATATTTGGTGATGTCAACTGGCCCTGATCCCAAATCAACAGTCATGCCAAATGTTAGTTTAGTAGTATCCTGGTCTATTTAGAAAAGTAATTGTATAAATAATATATAATATTTTAGAATAGTTATATTGTATTGATAATAATAATTTTAAATTTTCAAATAATTTATATAACTTACTCGCTGTAAACTCAATGTCCGTGGTAACTTGCTCATCCAAATGAAATTCGCATGGTGACTTTGTACATTTACTAATTTCCAATGTTTTAATTTCAGCGTGTCCTATAAAACATAAATAATTTTTAAAATAGTATTATAGTATAGTACAGTATTTATATTTTATTATAATGATTGTGGTAAGTTTATTACCGCAGTCTTTGTAGGGTGAGCTGGCTGATGCCAATATTATGGCCAGGCTTATAATGACTACTTTCAACATTGTTTTTGTAAGTATTAAACTTTTAACTTGTTGAATTCATAAAAACTTATATGATGGTTAAAATATATACCGAGTTTATATACTTTTACTTTCATAGGTATGGATTATAATACTTTTATTATCAAGTAGTTTGAAAGTAAAAGTTAATAGACCTATTTTTAGATAAGTGCCTTGATAATAATAATATAGCATATATTACTAACTTTTTAAACTATAGCTTTTTAAATCTTAAATCAATTGCATCATATTATGCTCTTTTGCTATCAAATTTTGCCCGATAATTTATATTTTAAGTACCATAATCAGTCAGTTTTTGATAATATATTTCACAAATTTGCTCTTTTGAAATTATCAATGTACTTATTGATTATCTATTTTGTAAATATAATTATATCAGATATAAATTGGATAATTTTTTATAAGCAATTATTAAAACATGTGCCATTAATTAAACATTATAAAAAGTATGCTGTATAAATATTATACACTGTTCGTAATGTTTAACTCTAACTTGTAAGCATTAATTGATTAGATTTTTGTTTTTTCAAAATATTGCCTAATATTCACTTTATCATTGTCAACAAGTTACTTATAAACATACATGAGTTTATTTATCCTTTAATAAATGATAACCAAAGAGCATAATATGGTGCAATACTATTGAAAACAGTGAACATTATACTTATCGATCGTTAACTAAATTAAGCAAGTAATTATTATATTATTATCATCTATCAAATACTGTACTACGTAAATCTAAACTTAATGATTTAATCAAAAATCATTATCCACGTACTTTTGTCTATTACTGTATATAAATTCGAAAACAATTGAAATGCTAAATTAAATAAAATTTTAGACATAAAATATACACAAACTTAAAACACAGCTAATTACAGCAATAATGTAATATTGGCCATTATAAATTAACTAGCTTGGTTAAATAGTTATATAATTTACAATTTCAGTCAGAGTTATAATTCAAAATATATTAACAATAGATGCATTTTTAACATTTTGTTTTTTGAAAGTGTATTATGGCATAATTAAATTACTGATATCGCTAGCCATGTAATCAAAATATTATTCATTTAGCACGTTTATTCACAACGTGCGATTAATATTATTTTTATAATAGCGCTCCGATTATTATCTACTTGTAGTGCTCAGACTTTTAAATCATTAAATTAAAAATGACTTATTTTTAAAATATAAACATAAAATCTTAATAAATTAGTACTCTTTAAAAATTTTATTAATTTAATTAAACATTAATTCAAAAAATTAATGAGCTTTTGAATAAATTATTTATCGCGAAAACAAGAAATCTTATATTTTTATTGTTTCTAAAAGTGTATTATGGCATAAATAAATTATTAAAATTAATTAACAAGGCGATGAAAACATTTTTCATTTAATAAACTTAATAACAATAAATGATTGCTAGAATTGCAATTGAACGACAATGAGTTCACAATATATTCATAAAACTCATAGTTATTCATAAGAAACATATCATAACAATAGAAACCAATGTCTTTGGCCGACAATCGCTCCATAAATGCCATTAATTTCAGTCTATTTTGTACGAGAGTCAAGTATTTTCTCAATCCTATTGAGCTCTTTATCGACCCGATTCTCGAGGTCCAGGAGCCGGACCTCCAGTGCCTGTATTAAGTGGGGTTCAAATGCGAGCTGTAGTTCCCCGGATAATATACGTAGCTCGGCATCAAGGGCGTTTAACTCAATTATTTCACCAGGATCAACCAGTGGGGACAGGCGTTTTAGATCGTTTTCAAGGCGAGCCTCAAGTTTGGCAGCCCTGGCCTCCAGTTCCTCTTTGGATATTGGCTCCGGTCTACAGTCTATTAAATTAGATTTTATTAATTTTTAAAATTTTAAATTTTAGCTAGTATAATTACTTACAAGTACTGCAAACTAGAATTAATAATATAATCACTTTCATTGTTTTAATTATATTTTTAACACAATAATAGAAATACAATTAAATTGCAATGAATTACAGTTTTTGAAATAATAATAATGAGAATTTTTGAACCTGTTCATCTTATGATACAGATATCAGATATGATTATAAATGTTATTAAACTTATTGAATGTAAAATTTTCCATGCAATAATTTAATTATAACACACAATTAATAAACAAATTGCTAAATTTAAATTAATTATTATACCCTTTATACAAATAGTAATCATATTTATTTATTTTAAATATTAATTATATTAAATTAAATACAATATAATGTAAAATTTAACATAACATGATGTGCATTATATATTAATAAAATTACTTTCAGATAAATTATCAGGATATTTTATTATATCGATCAATTAAACTAGATGCTTTCCAATTACCGCTCAAAATATACTCAAAACGACTAATTAGCACTTAGGTATCGGTACCCACCCATACCCTCCCCCCAGCTCGTCCCTCAACTCTATGATCTCCACCTCTAATGTCGTCAACTCGTCCACCAATTTAGCCATCGATTGCTCAATAGATATGCCGTCCACTCGGGCTAATACAGTGATATGGTTGCACACCTGAGCCAAGTCGCCCTTCCGGTCGTGTAGTTCCTTCTCGAATGAGTAGAAGTCGTTGATTATAATGATGTGAACCACCGATAGGTCTAACAAGCGCTGAAAGTCCGGGTGCCGCCAGTCCTCTTCCGGCACGTATAGGTCGTCCACGTATTCAATCATATGAAACATGATTTTGACGCCTAGTGTGCGCTTTCGGATTTAATTTTTGTTTATTAGAGAGAGAGAGAGAGAGAGACTGAAGTAGACATACCTCCAAAAACTCGTCAACACTACTCAACACTCGCCGGGACTGGAGGTCCCGACACTCGCCCACCTCAGCGTCGGTCCACTCCCTCATCAACTCAACAAACCGTCGCTTCTGGACGTCAGTATAAACTGTAAATATCTCCTCATATATAGCATACGCGGCCAACACATAGGGTTTACAGGCGTGGGCCGGCACGTACCGGTCGGGGAACAGTAGCTTCTCGTACATACTGTCCATTTGGCCGAATATCTTGATAGATAGCTCGACATCCCGGTTAATCTGGCCGTACCAGCACTCGGTGTGGTCGTCCAGTACGAAAAGGTGCACGAGCAGTTTACGTGCCACGTGATACCGGTGCCGATCGTGGCATAGGGGCCACATGTAGTCGCTGAATGGTAGGACACATTCGATAGGCGCCCATTTGTCCGCTGTTTTCAAATGACCATGTTAATATAGCGTTGTCCATTTGTGGGTCAGACCCGCATAATGGGTTACAAAGAATCGGCATTATGGTAGATATGTCTGGTATGTTGTACCTAGGTTGTTTGTTCAATGTAGATGTCATGATTATAAATTTGAATTATAATCAAGATTTTAAAAATTATTTGTATCAGGTTTATATTTTAATGTAATAACAGTTTATTAATATACAGTATGATGATTAAGCATGTTAAGAATAAATACTGACTCTAATAAATACAGATTTGATAAACATATTTTTACGCCAAACTTGGTAATTTATATTTAAAATTATTATTCCCATAAATTATGACTCACATGTTAATGAATAAATTGTCAAAGTATTTGAGTGGCTTTCGCTCAGGGTTATTTTGAGGAACTGAACTGAATTAAATATGGCATTACTAATATAATTACTGTATACATAATTACTGGCGATAAGCATTTATATAACAATTTATAATTGTTTGAAAACTTATATTTAATATATCATATCATATTTCATATTAATTTTTTCGAAACAATATTAATTTTATGATTATTTTATTTTTAATTTTATGAGTTTGAAATATTGGATATATTTAAATTATAAAAATATACTTTTATAAAACAAAATCTAAATAATTTTTATATGGCGCTGCCAAAAAATATCATACTCAAACATAATCAAATATTTTGCTTAATCTCTTAATATTATTGATTTTATTTATAACTAATTATAAGATTAATATTTATAACTATTAGTTGTTTTTATTTCAATGTTTATCGTAAAGTCGAGGAAAACACGTGCTTTTGTGTCGGCCACTGATGACTAAACTCAGGGGTGAAGAGGAGTTATAGCCGACAGACTTTACTTAGAGAGCGCGCGACCAACACGTGTCGGTCTAAATGCACCACAGCTTAGGCTCTCTTAATATCGATGGGCTGTGAGTGTAGTCTTAGCGCCACTTCCGTGTCCTTCGGACTAACGCTAAAACTCATTGTGTTGTTGAGTCCGCAAACCCAGTGATGGTCTGATGATCACCACAGAGAACGATGCCGACGGGTGGCACTGTTGAGCATCAGTCGGTCCTAACTGCAGTTTACAGGTCTAACTTACTGATGGCTTTATAATCAAATCAACACCCAAGTATTAATTCAAAAATAGATTTTATTTCATTAACTCAGACAAACTCAAGTGTTTGGACGAACGGGTAATACACGACTGAAGTCTTTTACAGAAACAGTTTACTTATACAGTAAAAAACTATTCATAATCAAAAGGATTAAACCAATAGCAGGCACTTAGACTCAGAGATAGGGATTATAGATGACTACTAATTATCAGAAACTTCCAGAAAACATTAGACTAATAATGAATATTTGAGTCATAAATAATAAATTATAATTAAAGTATGAGTAATACTCAAATATACATGTTTTAGCTTTTATTATTATACCTTTCTAACATTCTATAGATTTCAATTATTTGTATATGTTATAGACTATAATATAGAGCATACATTAACATAGTATGGCTCCAGAGCCAAGCTAGCGTTGTAAGGCATAATAATTATTTATCATTTAATACAACACTAGTATTTTTAATCCTTAATGAATAATTTGCTATAATACAAATGTTGTTTATTTTATTCATAAATATTTTGATTGATTAATTATTGATATTTTGAATTAAATATTAGAAATTATTAGTTTTTAATATAAATAAATCTTAACACAATAATAGTTAAATGTGAATTTCTGTATGATTAATAAAATAATAGCTTATAATTTCAAAGTCACTAATTTTAGTATTAAAAGTTTATATTACTAGTGTTGTCTACCTTT